CCCCAAACCTTGGACAAGTGCTTGATCTTGATCCCGGCCACCAGGTCCTCAGGCTCAGCCTCAAAGTACTCCGACCTGAGCACCTTCTCTGGGTCCACGTCGACCCCCTCTCTCCCCTGCAGCGTGCCTGGGGCCCCGCACCAGTAGGAGGGCTGGAGGGGCAGGTGGCTCCTTAGGTGCGCACGGTCAGCGCCCCGGGGCCCCACTGCCAGAGAGGACGTGGCTGGAGCTGGGGACAGTGCAGCGCAGCCCCGGGCCCCGGGAAGCAGGCCGTCTCCCCTACTGCCCTGTGGGCCGAGGAGCTCAGCGGGGCCCAGGGAAGGCGGCAGGTGAAGCAGCCCCCGGGGAGGGCTCGGGCCCGTGGGGGCGACCGGGGAAGGCTGTGTCCACCCTCACTGCCCTCCTCGGCTGCACAGAGCCCCTGAACTCCACGAGTCCAGGCCAGAGGGGGCTGCCCCGGCCCCCCCGCCCCGCCGGCCTTCGCAGCCACCGGCCTGCCCGGCCGGACACACAGCGCCCGTCGCCCTCCCCAGGGCAGCGGTGTGGGCAGCGCCCGGAGGCAAGGTGTGTGCTGTGACACATGATTCTGGGCCAGAGGCCACCCTGGCCACCGCTCTGGGGACACGCTGTGCGTCAAGGGGCTGGGAGGTCAGCACAGTGTCATGTCAGGCACCCGCCGGGCTGTCGCCCCGCCCGAGGGCAGGCAGTGACGGGGGTGCGTGACGTGTGCAGGCCACCCTGGGCACCAAGCGGCCAGCGGGAGGTGAAGCTGACCCAGAAAAACGCCCGTTAGGTGCTGACAAGCCGGCGCGGAGAAGCCGCTGAGGGGTCAGCGCCCAGGGCCACGTGGGGCATCCGCGGCCCCCCGGCCTCTCCCGAAAGTTTCTGTCACTTCACGGGGAGAAACCTCGGGAGAGAGGAGCAGGGCGGACTCCTGGCCGCCAGCGAGCTCCCCGGGGACGCGGCGCGGGCCTCGGGGCCCCGGTGCCACCACGCAGCAGCGCGCAGGAGGGTCTGTGTCCTGGCCCCGGGGGTCAGGGCTGGGGGCTTGCCGAGGCCCGGGGCCACCGGGGGCGCGGGCGGGAGACTCACCGTGACAAAGAAGTACCAGGGCCGGGGCACGCCGAGCTGCCCGGGGAAGACGGCCTCCATGTACCAGGTCACCAGGCCGTACAGCACGGCGTCCAGCAGCAGCATGCCCAGCGCCTGCCCGAAGGCGAAGTCGTCGTCCACGCTGACCGGGCTCAGGAGGTCTCGCCACTGGACGCCAGTGCCTGGACACACGGGGCGGCCAAGGTCAGCACGAAGCTCGGGACTCCCTCGGCGCTCGGTGGCGCGGACAGGAGC